CAGAGATGCTGAAAGCGCAGCTAACATCCCGACCAGGTGCTTCCAGACTGGATCACTGGTGCTTTCTTCACTGTTCCCTCCTGCAATGTGTGTTCCCCCCATGCAGGTTGCTACAAAGTCAGTTGGAATCTTTCTGCTGACTTCAGTGGTCTTTGGATCAAAAAGTCATTCACTTTATTGTCCTAATAACGGAGATTTCATGGGCAAACCCCACTTCTTTAGAAGTTGGGGAAAACTTCCTAATTGTCTGGGTGGTTAAACACTGTAATAAATTGCCTAGGGAGGTTGTAGAATCTCCAACAATGGCTTTCAGCCACCAGCCTATTGCCAGACCTCAGGACCATTTGTTGCCAGACCAGAGAGTCTCCGTTTAGAGAGTTGCAACCAGTAGAAACTATTATATTGTACTGAATTATTTGAAATGGTACCAGTAATGTTGTATACATGTGGTAAGAAGTGAGAAAATGTGTCCCAAAACAGCAAGAAGTAGAGAGAGAATAATTAACCAGGAATATTATTTTTGAATTCTTGGAGCTTTACACTTTTTATCCCTATTTTCCAGCTGTTTCATTTGAACCACCTGCACCATATTGATATACTATGAGCCTTTAGGGAGACTGCTCAAATCTGTAATTTGGACTTACAAAAGTGTCAAGTATTAACAACTGTTCTTTGCTCTACTGGTGCTAAGCATTGATCCACCTGAGGCATTACTGTAAAATCATTTGTTCCCTAACATTTCCTCTAATACAGTGGGCAACTGCACTGAGATGCTTTCCTTTGTCTGTTCTGTTTTATATAGGTTCTTATATTGCCCTCATCACTGTAATATCTTAGCACCTAAGAAATGCATTAAGCTCTGTAACTAATGTTTGTCACACACGGTTCATTTTTTTTCTCTCATCCTCTTCTGAAAGGAAGAATTGAGGAGCAATGTATATTTAGTTTTGATAAAGTTTTATATTTTTATTTATTTTCCCAGAGGGAGTTTAAACGTATATGTTGCTCTATGTCTATTTTAGAAATGTAAGGTCAAGAAAAGCATGCCTTTCACTTGAAGTGCAAGGTGGTGAGGTTTGTGATAGTCTTCAACTGCTATCAGTTTGTTGTACAAACTTCTGCCTTCCCCTGAAAAAGTTCAGTCTTCTGGGCAGACAAGCTTTATCCTTACAATAGAAATTCGTGACAAATAGAAATGTCAGCCACAGTCTCCAATCCCATAGCCTTAGGTGGTCTTTTAGGCAAAGGCTATGTTTAGACTGCTCTGCTACATCCAAGGAATGCGTCCACTTTTCTGAAAAAAATGTCGGAAAAGTAGGCGCGTTTTTTGTTGTCCCTATAAACCTCATTTTATGAGGAAGAAGGGATATTCCAAAAGAGGGATTTTTTTTCCTAAATTTAGCTCCGTGTAGATGGGCCAAATTTCAGAAAAGCCTCTTTCAGAAGTAAATCAGGAAAAGAGACACAATTTGCGTACCGCAAAATTGTGTTTCTTTTTCTGATTTATCTTTTAGTGTAGACAAAGCCTAGGTCTACACTAGAGGATAGGTTCAAATTAAGATACACAACTCTAGCTACTTTAATTACATAGCTGGAGTCGAAGTATCTTAAATCACATTTTGGCACCATCCTCACAGGTTCCCTTCGACTTCCCTAACTCCTCATAGGAGCTGGACTACTGGTTCTGATGGGCGTGACCTCTCACTTCGAATTAGCATGTCTTCACTTGACCCACTAATTAGAACTCCGGAAGATCCACTATGACAGCTTCGGTCTTCCTGCAGTGTAGACAAGCCATTAGATATTCTTTTCTAGACCACTGAGCATCTGAAAATGAAAGGACCAAGACCCTGAACATGATTCATTGTTATATGGGAAGATAGAATAAGGAGAAAAGTACAGGTTTAATTTGTTTGTTGTAATCTGTTATGCTGAGAAGACACTTTGTAGCCTCTTCCTTCAAAATTATTCATTGAAATCAAGCAGATCACTAACAAGGGTCCAATATAAAATTATCTTCCCCTAGTTAATCCATTTCCTTCTTTTTTTGTCTATCTCTGGGGCTGTGTCTACACTGCAAAGAAGAGTCAGAAAAAGATACACAAATTGTGAATCAGTTTGCACATCTTTTTCCACTTTTCTACATGGGGCCAAATGTTGGAAAAAGCCCTCTTTCTGAACATCCTTTCTTCCTTTGTAAAACAAGGTTTACAATGATGCTGAAAGAAATGCATCTACTTTTCCATTTTTTTATTAGAAAAGCAGATACATTCCTGTAATTTAGACATACCTTGAATATAGAAACTTTTGCTCTGTGTGTAGAAAAAATGCTTTTTTTAACCTAAACCTCCAGATTTCTTGTTATACTTTAGACATTTTAGGCAGCAAATAACAACTTATAGGAAGATACAGTAATTTTAAGTTCTTTCTGTGTTGTGGCAACATTAAGGGTACGTCTAGACTGCAACCCTCTGTTGGCAGAGGGATGCAGATTAGGCTAGGCGAAATTGCTAATGAAGCGGGGATTTAAATATCCCACACTTCATTAGCATAAAATGGCCACCGCTTTTTTCCAGCACAGAGCTTTGTTGGAGAAAAGTGGTAGTTTAGAGGCTGATCTATCACTGAAGAAATCTTTTTCCGATAGATCCTGTACACCTCATTAACAATGAGGAAACAGAAGCCTCCACTACCTTTTCATCTGCCTCCAAGTTAAACAAACATTTTTGTTCTTATTCCAGGGCTGCTTCAGTGTCACAAGTTATTCTATATTTTTGTCTGTCAGTGCTGAGATAGCTTCGCTGTAGGGACTTCAGTGGTGTCCTGCCCAGGCAGGAATGAGTGTGTTTGCAGGTTCGTTGGTTCTGCAATCTGTTATAGCACTAAGAAGTCCTCTTGTTTAACAGATTGGTGTTGGTACTAAGCTTCTTCCCTCTTGTCTGGAGGCTTGCTCAGGCCCATTTTTCTGGAAGTTCCATTCTGTGGTGTTTTGCCCTCAAACGTAAGAGGAAGTAGAACTCAGAGGAGGTCTCTGTAAGAGGGGACCATGAGGTTTTCTTGGTGACTGTGTAAGTCCCTCAGTGTTGACTGTGGTGTGCTGGGGATGATAGAGCATGTTTCCCTATTATGTTTTCAGGCAAGAGGGACTCTGTAGGAAAATGCTATCATACTCAGGAATGAAAGAGCCAGCTTAAGGTAAGGGAGGGTGAGTTGAGTTTCATTGACTTAAGAAGCAGCCTGTTTCAGACTGTGTGTGTTTTGGGTTCTTGCGTATTATCATTCTAAAAATTCTAAAAAATAAAATACTGTTACATTACAGCCATCTAGCAAGAGTACTTCTATTTTTATCTATTTTCTCTGTATGTAGGTTGTGAAACTAACATTGATGAATTAACATCTTTTGTAAGGTATACCATTTCTCACCAGAGAAATCCAATGAAGGGCTCCTTCTAGTCTATAAGATATATCAAACTCAGCTGATTCAGATTTGTGTTCTGGGAATGCTTGGCTCAGAAGCTTATCTGAACAGCTCATAGGATGAGGGTTCTGCATTGGGATGTGGGGGTCACATTCTTCACTAGAAATCAATGCTTAGTTTTCAGGCTCTATGGGGTAATCTTTATGTCACTGGTGTTCCTCCTAGGATCATTAACCTCCCAGGTTTAATTTCAAAACTTAACTCTTACCATGGGAAATTTATTTCTATAACATGGATATTAGGAAAGTGTGGAGTTCACTTTGTATTTGGATAATACTAAGGTATTTAGGAAGTCACTAAAACTTTTTTATAATTGGAGATCTGAGTAAATGAAATACTATTTCCATGCAGAGCTACTCCAAAAGGATTATACACAATGGAACATATTGGGTAGCCTACCCATATTGAAAGGCATCATTCTCTTAAAAGTGATGTTTTATCCCCAGTGAGGTTTCCATTATAGAAATCTGCATAGCCGATATCTTGGAGCATTATATATACCTTCACTTATAGCTCCTCTCTTGACTTGATATATATATCTGATGGTTAGTTTGAGAGAGTAGCTCTAAATTAATTACAGCTCGTCAGCCCACATTCCTGGGATTGAGGTTTTATACTCACACCTAGAATCCCATACAAGAAAAAGTATATCCAGTCACTTTCCAGTAAATTAGATGTTCACAAGTGTTGCCTCCATATATTCCCAACACCCATCCATCTTCCTCACTCTCCTTTGGACTTCTACTCTTATAGGATTCTGAGCTTTAGCAGAAGGAACTGAGACTTGTAGGGACCGCACATCCTATTAGAACCTTGGTTGTGAACATTTAGTGCTTTGTGGGGCAAAGCTTGTGTAGTCTCCAAGGTGCACTGTTTTTCTGGAAGGTTTCTGAAATAAATAGCGTTTCTTTCTTTCTTTCTTTCTTTCTTTCTTTCTTTCTTTCTTTCTTTCTTTCTTTCTTTCTTTCTTTCTTTCTTTCTTTCTTTCTTTCTTTCTTTCTCTCTCTCTCTCTCTCTCTCTCTCTTTAGAAAGACCATTATTGTGACTTCTTTCCCAGACCCAGACAACATTTTTTTTTTAAAAGAACCAAATGTTGTGGCTTTATAATCAATAAAATCAGACTTAGCAGTATTCCAAGATCAATATTTTTTCACCATTTTTTAAATTTCAGTAGTTATAATTCACCCATAGATAATTACAAAAGCTTTTGTAATATTGAATTCCTGAGAAAACAATTGTCTTCATTAGCATCTGTCAGTGTTCTAAATGAATCCAGTGGAGAAGCTGTTTCTTCAACAGTACACTGCATTTTATCAATGGATAAACTCAAGTCTCAAATTAATTAATTAATTAATTTTCTCTTACATCATATGTTCATGTATATACATTTAGGCATATCATTCCGGTCCAATAGACTGATGTGTTAAAATATAGCATCAGTTCATTAACATATAATTTTTAACCTAATATGCTTCCTTATTTATCAATCTTCTAAATTAGGGTGTATTATTTTCCCCACAGGGATATGATGATGGATATGGAGGTGAATATGATGATCCAAGCTATGAGGCATATGATAGCAGTTATGCCACCCAAACACAGAGGTAAGCAATCATAATTGTAAATTATTGTTAAATGAGCTACTAGACCTAATCTTTGTTCTCCTAAGCTTTTGGCACAGCAGGCATCTCAACTCTTACTTTCTGACAGCAAACAATTCCTCAAAACACTGGATTTTTTAAAAATACTTATAATCTAAATTAACCAGAAAAATGCCAGCATTAACATGAGATTATTAAAATTAAGGAAAGAATGCAGAAAGAATACATTTCTAAAATAATTTTGAATTGTAGCCTAGTTTTAAAAACAATTCCAAGTTTTAAAAACAATTCCAATTCCTCTTCTTCTCCCTTGTCTCTCTCTGAATTTTTCTTTCTAAAATGAAAAGTCTTCAAGGCAGATACAATGCTTTCCTTCGTGTTTGTACAGCTCATACTACACTGTGAGCTCTACCAGAAAACAGTCATAAATAACAAACAATGATGGTGATAAGCCCTTCTGAGTAGTCAATATACAATGACAAGGAAAATTGCAGGACTTTAGTCTGTAACCTTGAGTTTGGGGCAAACAAACTCTCTACTTTTAAGATAGTTTGATATGTTTATGAGCAGGATTATTTGATGGGTTTGGATGTGATAGCATGGGACTGGACTCAATGATCCAGAAGATCTCTTTGTATCCCTGCACAGTGTTCCTACCTGAAATTTGATTGAGAAGTTTATTCAAAAAGATATTATTTAACTATAAAAAATAACTGTTCTGTGGTCAGCAAACACACTTAGCATTGACAGCCCTTTAATAGAAGGCCTGGGATGAATGATAATGTTAAAATGAGCCACTGTTACCTTATTGAACCATTCTCTAGTTGAAGGAAGAAAAAAAATACAAACCACATACCAGTCCATTGGAGATTTCAGTAATTGTAATTCACATCAAACAACCTCAGAGTTAATCAATTACCCAATTGGAAACCACTGAAACTAACTTGTTTTGTGCCAGCTATTCTTGTAAAAACATTAAGAAGCAATATTTTAGCACGGTGGTCCCCAAACTTTCATGTCACACCCCCCAACTCATCTTCACCCCTACCCCAAGCTGTGATAAGGAACCAGAAAAGGGAGCAGGGCCACAGCTCCTGAGGGATAAGAGGGCTGAGGCTAGAGCCAGATTTGTAGCTGGGCTATGGGCTGAGGAAAATGCCTTGACCACAGCTGGGGGCAGGGCCAGGAGCCAGAGTCTCAGTTAAGGCTAAGACAGGGGTGTGAGGCCATGACTGGGAGTGGATTCAGGGCTAGCAGCCAGGTCTATAGCTAGGTGCAGAACTGCAGCTAGGCTGGGAGCCAAGGCTGAAGGTGGGGACATGCCTGGAAGTGGAGTCATGGCTGGGAGTAGAGCTGTGACTGGAAGCAGGGACTGAAACTGGGGAGAGGCAGGAGCAGGGGTAGATGGTGCTCCTACCCCTCACATTCTGCAGGCCACTCTGCACCTCATAGAATGTTTTTCCAGGCCCTTCTATGGGAGTGCACTCCACCGTTCAGGGACTACGGCTTTAGCTTGAAGGACGATTAAGGCACCCAAGTTTGAAAATGTTAGTTATTTATTCTGTGAAGTTAATGACAATAATTTTCATGGGCTGGTGGTGAAATCATCTTTTATTAATAATGCAGCTTTAGAAAGGGTGACTGTTTATAATTTAATTGCAGAAACATTCCTAATCCTCTGCATGGTTGATAAACATCCTATGATACAGCTTGTCATCTTTTTTTCACTCAAAGTGCAGGGCAAAAACTCTTCTTGAACTGGCTGTTCAGAGGACACTATTAGTGGCAGTGAAGGAAAAAAGTCAGATTATGGAATGACAAACAAAAGCATAAAATGCAAAGACAAGATCTTTTACTTAATTAGCTGGATTTCCAGCACACAAAGAAACAAATTTTCATGTAAAGAGTTGTGCACTAATTGCTGGTCCAAAAATTAGCATGTTCATATCTGAGTACTTCACTGACGAAGATCCTTTTCAGAAACATCTTCAGAGCTAGAACTGCTATAGTGGTACTTGAAATGAATAAGAAGGCAATGTTTTTGGTAAGTATTTGTTGTAGAACCAGCAAGGATGTTAAAAGAACTTTGTAATATGTGAATGCATATCCTTTCATGTATATATATGTTAACCTCACTCAGAAGCAGTGATCTATTAGTTGCTATGTGTGGATAGGCAAATACAGCCCCTCTGCTCAAATGTACTCCACCTTTTTGAACAGTTCATCTCTAGCTACAGTAGCTCACTGTCACAGGAGAAATGTCCTTAGGTTTGAAATAATAATTAGTTAGAAATTACTATGCTGAGACAATTTTCTCTGTCACTGGCATTAACTTGTAGTTCCTTTGTATATTATAGACCTAGGCAATTGAACAACACACCCCTTAAATTGAGGAAAAAACCCACATTATATTAAAGATTTAACTGCTAGAGATGTTTTCTATCAAAAAGGATTTAAAAAGGAATCAAAATAACTATGTTAACTAAATTAATATTTATTAGCATAGGTCTAGCAGGCATTTTTTATAGTTGTGAGCTAGCAAGAAAAGGATTCAAAGGACGTATGTTTCTAAGCAACAAATAAATTGTTTGTTTCATTTTTTTTTTGTATGTAAATATATGGCCACATGTAGCAATTCTCAGCTCTTATAGGGTGCATCTAGACTACATGGCTCTGTCGACGGAGCCATGTAAAGTAGTTTACTCGGCATAGTCAAAGATGCGGGGATTTAAATAATGCCCGCTTCATTAAAATAAAAATGGCCACTGCACTGTGCCGACAATCAGCTGATCTGGCACAACGCAGCAGTCTATACGCGGCACGGTCAACAAGAGAAGCCTTTGTCGACCACTCCGGTAAACCTCGTTTCACAAGGCATACCGGAGCGGTCAACAAAGGCTTCCTTTGTAGACTATGCCGAGTCTAGACTGCCGCGCTGTGCCGGATCAGCTGATTGTCGGCACAACCATGACTTCATTGTGATTACAGTTATATCTCATATGAGTAATGTGTGACTAAATTTGTTGGATAGTGTAGATGAGGCATATCCCTTCTATGGGAAAATGGGGCACTAGTTACAAATATGATTCTATGTTCCCACAGGGTATGTCTACACTAGCTCATTAGTTTGAGCTAGGTAGGGTAATTAGGGCAAGCGGAGTTGCAAATGAAGCCCGGGATTCAAATATCCCGGGCTTCATTTGCATGTTCCCGGGCACCGTCATTTTTAAATCCCCCTTAGTCCGAACTCCATGCCCACGGCTACACGCGGCACGGAATAGGTAGTTTGAATTAAAGATCCTAATTTGAAATACCGTTACTCCTCGTGGAATGAGGAGTAACGGTAATTCGAATTAGGATCTTTAATTCAAACTACCTACTCTGTGCCGCGTATAGACGCGGACACGGAGTTCGGACTAAGGGGGATTTAAAAATGGCGGCACCTGGGAAAATGCAAATGAAGCCCGGGATATATAAATCCCAGACTTCGTTTGCAACTCCGCTTGCCCTAATTACCCTACCTAGCTCGAACTAATAAGCTAGTGTAGACGTACCCACAGTTACTTACTAGGTTTTAGTAAGGAAGGATTGCAAGTATGTCTGAAAATATACTCCGGATTTACATTTGGGCACTGTGTAATTGAAACAGATATCATGTTTGAAGGGGTTTGAAATGTGTAAATCTAATTCCCTCCCATTTTATACAAGTTCAGTGGCTTTGGTCCAGATTCTCGCTTCCGTTAAGAGGGTAGGGGATTGTCAGAGAGCAGATTGTGGCTAAAGTGATTCTCAGAGTAGATTTGAGCCCCAGCACTTCTTAGACCAGCCTGTTGACTGCTCTAACTTCCTTTGGATATCTATGATCTCCAGTCAGGTCACCACCTGAATATAGCTACAATACTACGTACTCTGGCTACACTCATGGCTGTGCACCACAGCTGAGTGGAGGGGTCATCATACAAGTCTGCTTTACTACCTGTGCATCTATTGAAAGCTCACACACATCAAGGAGTTGTTTGCTGGGCAAACCCAGCTGCTCTTCATATCTTTTCACCACTCAACCCCACTGACTTTTGAGGAATTCTCCTAATTATCACCAGCCTAAGAGGGAGAAGAATCTGATCCAATATCTGTTTTGAGCTGGAGCAGTTTTCAAATAAATTTTTAAGAAATATTAAACTTAAAAGTACTAGGTCAGATTCTCTGGCCTGCTCCAGCAGTACAAAGAGGCTAGAAACAAGTTACATCTTCCCAGCGGGTGTAGAACTAATATAGCACCATGCTCTCTATTTCTATTTCACACCATGCTCTCTTTGCTGATGATGGGGAACATTTACTGGTGAATCTGGCATTTCTAGTTCTAAAACAATGGATGTTTCATTCATGAGGTGAGCAGCTGGTTTTGCATATATTTTGTGTATTGTGATCAAATTATATTAAGTGACATAAGTCTCTCCCTTCAGGACAGTTCTTAATAGGGATATCCAAGTCTTATTCTTTCAGATATTTTATTATGTCCACAGAAATGTATCTATATCTTTAGGTCTTTGGTGTCTAACATGCTAGCCACTAGCCACACGTGGTTAGATGGCCAATTGAATGTGGCTAGTTGGCTTGAACAATGTGACTATTTGACTGGTTGAGTGTGGCTAGTTCAATATAAAACTGGTTGGGCACCATGGCTTTAGATAATAATCTATCCAATGATTCTACACAGCCATGCATAATATTAACTTTTTCTTATAGAGCTCTCTTCTTATGTGTGTACCAATAAGAGAGAATTAGATAAAAATGCGAATCAAATTAAAAAGAAAAGGAAAATATTTAAAAGAATATATTGAGAACAAAGACACGTGTCCATTCAGGGGAGTCAACAGCCTCCCATGGGTCCCTGGCAAGGTGGGGAGAGGGTGGCTTTGTGCTCCCACCTCAGGGCTTTGGGCCGAAGGGGTGGGACTGGGAGAAGCCAATCTTCAATGCTGCCCAGAGCGTGATGCCTCCTC